ACCTCTGTTTCTTCCTTTTTTAGAATAAATCATTAGTTTTTGTCTTGTTGCGTTTGATTCACAGAATTACTTCGAATTTTTTATGATCTGTTTCTTTATTTGCCAACAAGTGAACCGATAAAGTACTCTTTTATTTTGAAATTTTTGTCACCAAAACAACTCATAATTCTCACGTACTGTCAGGGATTGAACGAAAGATTTAGTTCAGACGACAGGTCTTGAATCCTTCAAGAAAGAACTAGTTTACATGGCTTCATAATCAAAACAAACCTTTATTTATTTCATTTTATTTATCACGATTTTTTTGTGTTAAAGTTCTCCCATAAGTATTTTTTTACAGAAAGAGGTAGGGTAGTGAAGGAAGAATTCAAGGAACAATTTAGTTAAAACTTTTCTTTAATGAAATCACGCTCATATTTGTCACATCAGTGTCGTTAAAGAGAAATCTTTCTTTAAAAAAATTAAAGTCATATTCAGTATTGGAAATGGATTATACAATAAAACTTTAATGGCCTCACAGAAAAACAATCTTTTCATAACAAACTTGCTGATAAAAAAACCCATGTGACTGTTTTATCTCTCACAGAATCAAGTTGACATTTCTTATCAAAAATGAAAAAGATAAGTCGTGCTTGAACTTACGAGTTCGACGAAATATTTTAATATAAAGGAACTTTACATGGAATTTTGTTCCGTAAAATATATTCGAACGAATCTATTTCTTTCACTAAGAGACGAGAACATGAAGGATATATGGTTTTAATAACAAGGTTGGTTACACTTAGTTTTACGCGTTACATCATATCTTTTCCGTCATTAAAAGTGAGGACGTTTAAGTTTTGTCTTTTATCCGTAGTTATTAAGAACCCTGAAACACTCAAAAGTTTACACATCATGTCAGCATACTCTTAAAGAGTTTGTTCTATTTGCTTACCTGCTTCATTCTAGAAAAACTAGATCTAAAGTTTCTTACCTTCACTCCTCGGTAGAGGAATTTATTGTCCTCGGTGAAATTCTTGAAGCTAGCAAAGCGATCGGAGTCGCTTAGTTGACATTTAAACTTCTTGTTGTTGTTTATTGTGGATCCAAAGTTGTATGACACACATGAAATTTCGTTGACGCAATGTAGTCGACAAGAACTCTCTGAATCCACCTGTATTTCTGTGATGACACTTCCATTGAGGCGTCGACCTCTTATTTCTCGGGCAAAGTTAACGGCTTGGAAGACGGGTGTCATCATTCGAGGGTCTCCGTTTGTAAAAGCAACCGTTAGAGACCCTAGAAGGAGTTGAAGCAGATACATACTTCGGAATCTTTCACTTGCATGCCTCGGCATCTTTCAGTTTTTTTTGTTTATCTCAAGTTTTTGGTTTTCAACTTCACGGTATTAATTATTAATCTTCACCTTGTTGACGTTTCAATGGATAGAAAATAAAAACAATCAATTAAACAAAACTTGTTATTGTAGAGTCACTGTGTGAAATCGAAAGCATTCCTACAGCTGGCGTTGGCATCTTCCAACAATATGTTTTGGTTGTTGCAATTGTATGTTTTTAGTTTTAGTGTTTTTATTGTATTTTTTTGTAATTGTATTTAGTGAATTTTAGAGTAGGAAGCATATGCAGGATAATAAATTATTTAATGGAGCTAGGGCCCTAAGCCATCATTCGTTAAATGAAATTCTGCCGAAGCCTAAACCCCAGCAATATAATTAACATCGCAAGGTTTGCCTCCGCCCAAAGATTAACACAGAACGTTTCATGAACACTTGTGAATGGACTAATTTTTAAACACAACCTATTATAATTGCATAATTTTGGCCGTAGCATATTATGGTAATTATCATTACACAGTTTCTCGTTTATGTAACATAGGATATGTATCCTTTATGTTGTGGTTTATTAAAACTTCAAAGACTTCAAAGAGTAGGGTTTTTACGGAGATTCAGAAACACGGACATTACGACAACTTTGATTTAAAGAAAAATCAAACTTTGATTTAATTTTAGAGCTTTGACTCCAACAGCCTGCTATCAGGTCCTCATTAAAAGAGCGTTTCTTCGCCTGCGGGAAAGTATGAGCCCTTGAGCAATGCGAGTCAGCGAGAGGGTCTTGCACTAACTATTAGTTTCAGACCCCTAGCAAACCTCTCCCGACTCGTCTCAAATCTTCCTGCGGGCGGAGAAACGCGCTTCCTGCAGCGCTAATAATTGGGAGGCGCAGCTCGAAGGCTATGACTCTAGTGTTCCCGTAAACGTTTCGTTGCCTCCAGTAACATCGACTTCCTCAACAAAAATTTACGAAAGAAGTTAGTGCTAGTCATTGACTGAATTATTTTTCTCGGGATCCGTTTGTGTTGTTCTCATTAATTAGGTCTTATTTATGCAGCTTAGTTATTTCGATCAGCCAGTAATGCAAAACGATAATTAACAAAAGAAAGTACTATGTAGAGATCTCTGGCCGGATTAAAATCCAGGTTGTTCGAACATGATAAAACGACAAGAAAGGATATGTTGGAGGACATTTCAAATCTTCGGCCAATTACTGAGAAGCGAAAAAGATAAAAGACTTTAGGATTATTTTCATATCATACCTTTTTTTACTCCTACGAGATTCAATGTCACAATTATCACGGTTTACTAGTGATAGTAAATTTAGTTTTCAACTCTGAAGGTCGTATTTCAAGTTTATTTAACATTGGTTATACAACAATTTTGTATCAAGAGTGTAGACATACAACTTTCGTCAGTTAAAGTAAACGAGATTAAAGCACAATCAAAATACACTCTCAGGGGAGGGCTGGCGAGTAGGGAGGCAGAGCTGATCTCCGCTCCAATGGTAAACAAACATCGTGTGGGCTTAAACGGATACAAAGTGGATCCAAGAATTTTTTTTGGGAGGGTGACAACTTTGATTCAGAGAACACCGAATATTGTTTGAACTGGAGCCCTAACAATTTTAGCACATACTTTAAGAAATTAAAATTCTTCATACTTCTAGTTGAGTAGTAGTAATGTGTAATCCCCTCGTTAAAAGAATTTTGGTTAAAGACAGGTAGTAAACTTACTCACGGGTTTAGGGATGGGGGGGGGGGGGAAAGGAGAGAGGTGTGGAGTCCCTAGACCCTCCCCCCCAAGTTGTCACTGAAGATTCAGCTAAATTCGAATTTTATGTCTGCTTCCTGCCTATCTTCGTTGTCTCTATCTATAAAAACTCTCACATTTAAGGTCTTGTTCATTAAGACTTGGCCTAACCACAACTTGATGTTTGTTTAAAAATCTAATTCGGTGACAAACACTTAATGAATAAACGAAATAAGTAAATCCACGAATAAAGGTCCCCGGAGAAAAACGAATACGAAGTATAGCTGAAGGTAACTAGAAGCTCACAAGGGAAACTTGCAAACGCCGCACTCAAACCTACATCGGCGCCCGCCCAAGGAAATGAGCATTTGCAAATATAAAAATACGAACAAACTAAAGGTTAATCTATTAATGGTGACATGGACAAGCCCTTGAGATAAACCACGAATAGACCAGGGTTAGTTATTCACAGGGTGGATAACGCGATCTAATGGATAAATCGCTAAAACGCGTTGCGGTATCCAGCGGATAGAGACTTATCCAGTGCAGTAGTGTTATCCAACCTTCCAACAACCGGGGCCAGGTTTACCATAAAAAAGCTCATACAAACTACGGAAATCATTGACGAGAAATGAGCATATTATGGCTGCTTCTAACGATATGCTTTGCTTTAGCTATAAGTCGGTCTGGGTTGATGCTATTGAAGATATGAAAAAAAAGTTTCTTTGATGTCGTCATACTTTAAGTGCCTAAGACACATTTCCCCCCGCATTTCTGGTTGATAGCTGTATTTAAAATTAGAAATAATCGACCTTAGCGCTTAGTGAGTTCTCTTTGACCATTTTTTTGTGCATCGAAAGTACAATTTGGCGGCCAAAAAGTGTAACATAGCTATGACGTAGAAAACTGTGAAGACACGTCGACAATCATGGTGGAGAAAGGAGAAGTCTAAAAGAAAGGATGAACAGATTGGGTGGCCGGGGCCCCAAATGATATTAGCTACAAGATTAATACACAAATGCCGAATATTTCTATACACTGCTTTCCAAAGGATACAGCTGTATAGCCAAAATGGACGCGTTTTGACCGTCAAAATCGAGGCGATTTTACTCTTCAATGTCGTCGGCCTTATGCTCCGAAGGCGCCTGTTACGAACACATGTCACTGGTCAAATCAAGAGAAGATAACCAATGAATTCAGCTCGACGATAGTCTTTGTCTTTGCAATCTCTGAGGAAACTGAGGAGCAACTTGCAGTGACTTCTCGGTGAAAAATCATCGTGCCTCCTGATACATCTGATTCTTTCGTCAAAAGTTTGGCTTACTAAGGAAATCTCTCTACAGCAGTGAAACTCTAGGGCGCTGACCGGGGGTAACCTTCGCCGCCTAAGGTGCGGAATAAAATGTTATGGCAACAGAAACGAACACAGCTACCCATTCTTAACACAGATTTCGCCATGGAAAAAAAACACAAACGCAGAAAACTAAACATTCAGTGACGGGAATTTTTTGTTCTAATCTTGACCGAAACACCGCAGGCGAGAAACCGTCTTTCTCAGTTTTCGTCGAAATCTTCATTTGATGCGCGCGGTTCTCCTTTGTAGGGCTGAACCGCACTCGCAACTTCCATTTCTTCCCTACTGCTTGAGTTCGATGTATCACAACTCTCGGTAGAGCTTTCTGGAGGTAGTTTTACATCTCTATCGGACACTATTTCAAGAGTATTTCAAAAGTATTTCAACACTGACTGATGTAAAATTACTAGAGATGTGAGAGATTTGTAAGTGTCAACTAAGAGTTTTCACAGTTTTCTACGTCATCACCTGCTAATTCGTTACCAGTCCACAGAACACTTTTAAGACAAAAAAAGAGCACTTTAGGGCCCGAAAAAACCGAGTTTTAAGTTTTTTGAAATTTTTCTTCTATCAGAATCGGTTTGCACATATGATAAGCTAAGTATTTACACAAAAAAATTTCGTTTCATAGGCACTTTGAGATAATGTTTTGTCACCCCACGATAGAAACCATCTTATCCCTTGGTTTTTACTTTCATCTCAGTGCGTTTTAGTGAGTAGCGATGGCCTCTTAACGTGCCCCAGTTGACTCCATCAGCATAAGAGGCATGTTGGCCATTCAAATACAATCCGTTTAGATTGGACCAATGGCAGCCGTTGTACCACCAGGCCCCTTTGTAGTGTTGGGCACAGCTTATATCCTTTAGATCATTATCTTGATCTTTCGTGGAAAACTGCATATCGCTGGAATAAGAATAAAACTTATGTGGCCTTCTTTCATTTCTGTTTAGCCGTTGAGGAAAGAGATTTTTTCGTAAAACTTAGAAAACGAATTTTAATTAAGGGTACTACTTTGACAAATTGCTTTAAAGAAAGAATTAAGAGACGCGAGAGAGACAGAGATAAAGAGGTAGATTTATAATACAATATCATAGAGTAGAATAGAATAGGATAGAATAGAATACAGTAGTTTAGGATAGGGCACAATAGGATAGAATATAATAATATCGTCAGTGAAAGTAAGTTTTTTTTTGCCAGGGAAATTAAAGCCACGAAAAATTTCAAGTGCGTGTTGGCTGTCCTTAATGTTAGATGACAAAGTTTTGACCATAGGTGCTATAATTTTGTCTAAATACATTCAACCCAACATATCCAACACCAATGTATTTACTTAACTATTTATGTTACCTATGATACATGAAGGAATCTCCCGCTGAGCCACCGTATTCTTCGAGAGTGAGTCTGTAATTATCGGCTTCGTGTGCCACCTTAAATGTATTGTACTCAGCGAATGTGATGCTCCCCTCAAAGTCCTCCAAGTCAATTCTCAACATGACGTCATTGGCGTTCGTCAAACGATGAAGATTGTCGTTTCCGAGCCAGAACTCGCCGCTTAAACTTCCGAACCCCTCTTTGTAAGGTTTCCAGTCGCGATAGAAGTCAACGGAGCCGTCCATACGTCTCTGGAAAACGGTCCAACCTCCACCGTCTGTGGTCATGTCACACAACACTCGTATTGGTTTACCGCCATCTGGATTGATGGTGTACACGCCATTGGAAGTGAAACCATCTTTAAGTAGTTGGGTGCAGCTTTTTGCTTCTGTTTTTAGAAGAAAAAGAGATAATTAATAGAGCTCAAATTCATTAATTGATCAGGGTGGATAAGCTGTACTGAGTCATTTTGCTTGATCCAAATTGGGATACTTAAGACTTCACGCACGCACTCAGTCAATATAAAGTGGCAAACTAGTGAAAGCGTTAGACATGATACTCACTGCATGGTTTTCCCGTATATCCAGAAGCATAACGACATTTACATTCTGCAGTGTTCTCTTTATAGTTGGGAACACAAATCTCGTTTTCTGCACAAAGGGAAGAGGTGACTTCACAATCGCTCTGTCAATACAAAAGCACCTGATTACTTATATTAAAATAAAGGTATCCTATTAATTGATTGATAGACTTTTAAAATTGCACGTGTTTCATATTCTCAGATTTAATCAGATCATAAGCTTCCAGACAGGCCAACATTAAGTTCCTTGACCAGACTAACCCTCAGGGATTTAAAATAACTGAGGGCAATGCGTTACCCTTGCTCTGATATCTCCAAATAGTTAGACGTTCTAGTCTTTTCAGATAAGGACGATCGAGTATCATTGAATTGTTGTTGAATCTGACCACCGGTGGGCTTAAAAGAAACTGGGGATCACTTCTCTGTCACAAGAGAGGGAAAAATATCAGTAGAACAGCTTTAGACCGCGAGGCTCAAATTGTTTACAAGCACCTACATATCGCCATAACTTTTTCTGAAGTGAAGTTAAATCAACCAGGCAAACTTAATATTTTCGCTGCGTACTTTTTGGCTTGTTATGAATTGCACCCGCAGTGCATTTATAGCAGACAATTCGTTGAATAAGATAACTAAATATATTTCTTGTTTTCACGACTGACCGACACAAATCAAGACCAACGGATGTCCTTTTTAGACCTTCCGAAAACATTCGATTTCGTACCCCAAGGACGATTGCTGCCTTAGCTAAAATGGCATGGAATAGATAGACCTCGGTTGTTGTAGAAATCTCTTTGGGTGCCCAAAACGTGTCGTGGTGCGTGGCACTTACTCTTCCTAGACCCGAGTGTTATCCGGTGTTCTCCGTGGCACGATCCCTGTTCTTATTCTCTTCTTAATATGCGTCAATGAAATATCATCAAACATCTCCAACACTAATAAGTTAGTGTCCGCTGATGACACTAAGATATAAAAGGAACTGGAAAACGTAGAAAAAGAAAAACAGGAGCCACAATTCGATATCGATGAGCTAGCAGCATGGACTAAAAAATGGAATCTGCACTTCAATTTTGACAAGTTAGAAGTACTGGCGAATAGTCCACAGGCAGAACAAATCCTTGCCAACTTACATGTCGATTTCAAGTCTTACAACCTTTAACAGTACTAAAAACCTACAATTGGCGACAGTATTGTTGACACATTGACTCCCCCGACCCCTAGCCCTTATTACTTCAATCTAATCCCTTTAGTCCTTGTTAAGGGGAAGGGGGTCTTTTGAATGATTTAGGGTATGGTAGAAACTGGAGTGTTACTCTGCACATAAATAGACTCTGAACTCTTCAAAATGATTTTTCAACTAATTTTGACGTGGATTGTTAGCGTTGTGATCGCCTTGGACCTGAAGCGAACGTAATTATACTCTAGTAATGAAAGCCGAAAAACGTATTAGGTTTAATTTTGTTAAAAGACAAAAGTGGCGTCTGGTAAGAATTTTCATTAAAGGTGATTTTTGACTTATTTGAGCGTGAAAATAAATGGAAATAATATATCTGCGTAAGCCATTCAGTAAACCTTGAAGTAAGATCGTTGATCGTTTCTTATTCCTTTTGGCGGGCAGTTTGATTGCCTTTTCCATATTAAGATCGTAAACTTGACATGGAGAAAGCTGTTTTTGCGTAAACTGCGGTTTGCGACTAGATATCAGTATATTTCTATTATGTTGCTAAAAGATGATTGATTGCTAAGAAAATGACTCTACTTTATAAAAAATTGATCCTGTACAGGAGTTTCCTGGAAATAACCTTTCTTTATACTTTTATCCATTTAATAATCTCGTTTTTAGGCTAAATCCATGTTGTATTTTCAATCAGGAAAATAGTTTTCAGTTTTTAATTAAGCACGTTCGACACCTCTTTTTCTTAGACGTGACTTAAAGTGTAAACATGTAGTTCTTTTCATCTTCCGCACTGAATTTGTAATTAGATAACTTATGCGGCTAGCACGTAGCTCGTTTAGGGGCGGTACCTTGGGTACGCCCTTTCTTCTCCGAATTTTGTCTTTATTCTGCTGTTATGCAACAGCCTTCAAAGACTATTTTCTCTTACGATATCTTTTAAGTATGATTTTAGTTGTTACTAAGTTTATTATAATTTTTATATTGTCAATCTTATTATTATTTTTTTTTTTAAGAATAAGAAATTTAAGTAAGAAAGACATTTCGTAAAACGTAAACATCGCGAAGGTATCTACTTAGTATGCGAACTCCGCTCTGCGTAGCTTAGCGTGATTCGCTAAGTGTGTAAGCATGACGAAGGAGAGAGATTGACAGCTCGGTATAAGTGTCACCTTTATAAGCGGTGACCCACACTTTCCTTGAGAGATCGGAGTTAGTCCCTGTTGCAATAACTTGAGTAGTAAGAGTGAATAAAGAAAGGGACAACAAAATAACGAGTGTTAGGAACTAATTTCTAACAATTTACAGAAACTTGGGTTCTTCGAATTCCGGGCAACCCTTTATTTATTTATACGATTTTTATGTTTTAAAGATCCTCCACAAATATTTTTTTCTTAGAAAGAGGTGGGATAGTGAAGGAAGAGGAAGAATTCACAGAACATTTCAGTTAAAACATTTCGTTCAAAAAAAATCATGCGCATTTGTCACATCAGGCTCTTTCTTTAGCAAAATTAGTCGTAGTCACGATACCAAATGGATTATACGATGAAATTTTAAATTTTAATGGCCTCACAGATGAAATGTTTTCCAGTCATAATAAGCTTACTCATAAATCATGCATGTGGACTGTTTCCCAAGAAATGAATACATTTTACAGAAATTCAAACAATTGAAAACATTCTTTGTGTGCTGCAGATGTTTATCTCTCACATTAATAGAATCAAGTCGAAACTTCCTATCAAAAATGAAAAGGATAAATCGAACTTGATCTTACGAGATCGACGAAATGTTAAGAACTTTGTAAGAATTTTCGTCCCATATTCCCATTCTCTTTCCAATTATTTTCAGAATGATATTCGAACGAACCCTCCTCTTTCAATATAAGACAAGAACGTCAAAGATATGTGGTTTTAGTAACACAGTTGGTTACACAGTCTTTGTTTCATTAAAAGTGAGGAAATTTAGATGTTTAGAACCCTGAAACACTCCAAAATTTACACATCACGTCAGGATACATTTTAAAAAGCTTATTCTACAGGGTATATAATGCTTACCTACTTCATTCTAGAAAAACTAGATCTAAAGTTTCTTACCTTCACTCCTCGGTAGAGAAATTTGTTGTCTTCGGTGAAATTCTTAAAACTAGCAAAGCGATCGGAGTCGCTTAGTTGACATTTAAACTTCTTGTTGTTTATTGTGGATCCAAAGTTGTATGACACACATGAGCTTTCTTTAACACAGTGTAGTCGACAAGAACTCTCTGAATCCACCTGTATTTCTGTAATAACACTTCCATTAAGGCGTCGACCTCTTATTTCTCTGGCAAAGTTAACGGCTTGGAAGACAGTTGTCATTATTCGAGGGTCTCCGTATGCAAAAGAAATCGCTAAAGACACTAGAAGCAGTTCAAGCAGATACATACTTCGGAATCTTTCACTTAGATGCCTCGGCATCTTTCAGTATTAGATGTTTATCGCAATTTTTCGGTTTTTAACTCCACGGTATTAATTATTAATCTTGAACTTGTTGAAATTTCAATGGATAGAAAATAAAAACAATGAAGTAAACAAAACTCGTCATTGTAGCGTCACTGTGTGAAATGAAAAGTGTCCCTATAGCCGGCGTTGGCAGCTTCCAATAATATGTTTTGGTAGTTGCAATTTTATGTTTTTAGTTTTTTAGTGTTTTTATTGTATTTTTTTTGCACTTGTATTTAGTGAATTTTAGATTTGGGTTTTTATGGAAATTTAGACACGAACCTCAAGACAACTTAATTTAATTTTAATTTTTTGACTCTAAGCCTGCGATCAGGTCCTCTTTATAAGAGCGTTTCTTCGCCAGGGGGAAAGTATGAGCCCTTGAGCAGTGCGAGTCAGCGGTAGGGTCTTGCACCAACTGCTGGTTCCAGACCGCCAGCAAACCTCTCCTGACTCGTCTCAAATCTTCGGCCAATTGTTGAGGTGCGAAAAGGGTAAAAGACTTTAGGATTATTTTCATATCATACCTTTTTTTTACTCCTACGAGATTCCATGTTACAATCATCACGGTTTACTTGTGCTAAATTTAGGTTTCATCTTTGAAGGTCGTATTTCAAGTTTATTAAACATTGGTCATACAATAATTTTGTTTCAAGAATGTAGACATACAGCTTTTGTCAGTGAAAGAAGAAAGTAAACGAGATTAAAGCAAAATCAAGAATACACTCTGGCGAGGAGGGAGGCGGAGCTGATCCCCGCTCCAATGGTAAACAATTGTCCTGGGGGCTTAAAAGATACAAAGCGGATCTAGGAATTTTTATTGGTAGGGTTACAACTCTGATTCAGAAAACACAAAGTTGTGTCTAAACCGGAGCCCAAATAATTTTAACACATATTTTTTAAGAAATTTAAATTCTTAACGCTTCTAGTTGAGCGGTAGTAATATATAATCCCGTCGTTAAAAGAACTTTGGTCATTAACGCATTAAGACATATTTTAAGAAATATAAATTCTTAATGATTGTAGTTGAGTAGTAGTAATATATAATCCCGTCGTTCAAAGAATTTTGGTGAAAAACATGTAGTAAACTTTCTCACGGGTTTGATGGGGATGGAGGGAAGGGAGAGGTGTGGAGTCCCCAGACCCCTCCCCCCCTCCAAGTTGTCACTGAAGATTCAGCTAAATTTAAATTTGATGTCTGCATCTGCCTATCTTCGTTGTCTCTATTTATAAAAACTCTCACATTTACGGTATTGTTCCTTAAAACTTGTGCGTGAGTTAAGGCCTATCCACAACTTGATGCTTTGTTTAAAAATCTAATTCGGTGACATACACTAAATGAATAGATGAAGTAAATAAATCCACGAACAAAGGTCCCAGGAGAAATACGAATATGAAATATAACTGAAAGTAACTAGAAGCATACAAGGGAAACTTGCAAACGCGACACTCAAACCCACATTAGCGCCCGCCTAAGGAAATGAGCATTTGCAAATAAAAATTAAGAACAAACTAAATGCTAATCTAATAATGGTGACATGGACAAACCCTTGAGACCACGAATAGACCAGGGTTAGTTATTTACAGGGTGGATAACGCTATCTAATGGATAAATCGCTAAAACGTATTGCGGTATCCAATGGAGAGACATATTTGAGATAACTTGAATCAGGCGACTATAAACTCACTCGTTTTCCGTTAGATTTGACCGGCGCGATGATAGCCTCTGTTTTTGCAATCTCCGAGGAAAGGAGCAACTTGCAGTGGCTTCTCGGTGAAAAATCATCGTGCCTCTTGATACATCTGATTCTTTCGTCAAAAGTTTGGCTTACTGAGGAAATTTCTCTACAGCAGCGAAAATCTAGAGCACTTACCGAGGGGAACCTTCGCCGCACGTGGTGCGAAGGAATAAAATGTCATGGTAACCGAAACGAACACAGCTACCCATTCTTAACACAGATTTCGCCTTGGAAAACAAAACACAGCAAACTAAACATTCAGTAACGAGAATTCATTTGCTACGCGCGGTTCACCTTCGTTGGGCTGAACCGTACTTGCAACTTCCATTCCTTCCCTACTACCTGAGTACGATGTGTCACAACTCTCGGTAGAGCTTTCTGAAGGTAGTTTTACATCGCTATCAGACACTATTTCAAGAGTATTTCAAGAATATTTTAACGCTGACTGATATAAAATTATTAGAGATGTGAGAGATTTGTAAGTGTCAACTGCGAGTTTTCACAGTTTTCTACGTCATCACCCGCTAATTCGTTACCAATCCACGGGACACTTTTAAGACAAAAAAGAGCACTTGAGGGCCCGAAAAAACCGAGTTTTAAGTTTTTTGAAATTTTCCTTCTATCGGAATTGGTTTGTACATATGATAAGCTAAGTATTTATGCAAAAAAAATTGCGTGTCATAGGCACTTTAAGATCATGTTTTAAGGTCATCCCGCGATAAAAACCATCTTATCCCTTGGTTTTTACTCTCATCTCAGTGCGTTTTAGTGAGTAGTAATTGTTCCTGAAAGTAACCCAGTTGACTCCTTCAGGAAAATTTTGGCCATTCAAATACAATCCGTTTAGACTGGACTTATGGCATTTTTCGTACCACCAGGCCCCTTTGTAGCGTTGGGCACAGCTTGCAGGATGTAGATCATTATCTTGATCTTTCGTGGAAAACTGCATATGGCTGAAATAAGAATAAAACTTATGTTGCCTTGTTTCATTTCTGTTTAGCCATTGAGGAAAGAGATTTTCTCCTAAAACTTACAAAACTAATTCTGCTAAAGGGAACTACTTTGACAAATTGTTTGAAAGAATCAAGAGACGCGAGAGAGACAGAGATAAAGAGGTAGATTTATTAATCATAGAGTGGAATAGTTTAGGATAGAATGAAATACAGTAGTTTAGGATAGGACACAGTAGGATAAGATATAGCAGGGAAGAATTGGATAGAATAAGATAGAATAAAATCGGATGGGATAGAATAACATAGAATAGAAAGGAATATGATAGACAAAAAAGGTTATAATTGCATAGTTAGTCGTTAAAAAAAATATAACAAAAAGAAAAGGAAATTAACAGAATAGCCATAATTTTGAAATAGTAAAAGTCACAACCTCAATGAAAATAGTGGATAGAATAGTATAGAATATAAAGGAATACGGTAGAAAAGGTTAGAATAGTATAGAATAGAAAGGAATATAAAAAGGTTAAGAATAGTATAGAATAGAAATAAATATGAAAAGGTAAGAATAGCATAGAATAGAAAGGAATATAAAAAGGTAAGAATAGTATAGAATAGAAAGAAATATGAAAAGGTTAGAATAGCATAGAATAGAAAGGAATATAAAAGAAAAGGTAAGAATAGTATAGAATAGAAAGAAATATGAAAAGGTAACAAGAGTATAGAATAGAAAGGAATATGATAGAAAAGGTTATAATTGCATAGAATCGAAAGAAATATAAAAGAAAAGGTAAGAATAGTATAGAATAGCAAGAAATATGAAAAGGTAAGAATACTATAGAATAGAAAGGAATACGGTAGAAAAGGTTAGAATAGTATAGAATAGAAAGGAATGAAATATAAATATCTAAAGGTGAAACAGAATAGACATGGATGTAATACGTTAGAATGGGATAGGACTAAAAAGAATAGGACTAGGGAGAAGAACAGGGTAGAGGTGATCAGAATAGAAAGGAATAAAATGTAATAGGATAGAACAGAATAGAATAGGAAAGAATAAGATAGATTAGACTGAATCAAAAGTAAAAAAGTCTGGAATAGAAAAGAATAGGATAGGTATAGAATACGGTTGATCAAGATAGAATAGGAGAGAATAGAAAAGATTATACTTCAAAAAAAATGTAATATAATAGGATCGGATGGAATAGAATTTAGTAGCATAAAATAGAATAGAATTTAACGGGGTAAAATAAGAAAAGAAGAGGACAAGCTCAGAACACAATTGAATATGATGGAACAGGATAAAATAGGATAGAATATGATAGAATAGAATAGACAGTATCTCTTTACTCTAATGTTTGTGCCAATCAAATGCTAATCATAACGTGCCCCTCTCCTGACTGATAATAGATACTCTCTCTGTCAAAACGAATATCTCTCTTACTTGTGTGATTTCATAGAGTCCCCAGCCGTGCCCTTGTATCCTTCAACTAAAAGCCTGTACTTATCAACTTCGTCTGCTATCTTAAAAGTCGTGTATTCAGCGTACTTGATGCTCCCATCAAAATCTTCAAGTTCAACGCTCAACATGACGTCATCAGCAGCTGTCAAACGGTGAAGATTGTCGTTTCCGAGCCAGAACTCGCCGCTCAAACTTCCGAACCCCTCTTTGTAAGATTTCCAGTCACGAAAGAAGTCAACAGAGCCGTCCAAACGTCTCTGAAAAACGGTCCAACCTCCACCGTCCTTGGTCATGTCACACAACACTCGTATTGGTTTACCACCATCTGGATTGATTGTGTACAGGCCGTTAGAAGTGAAACCATCTTTAAGTAGTTGGGTGCAGCTTTTTGCTTCTGATTTTGTAAGAAGAAGAAATAATTAATAGAGCTCAAATTCAGTATTTGACCAGAGTGCATAAGCGGTACTGAGTCATTTTACTTCATCTAAATTGGGGTACTTAATATTTTATGCACGCACTCGGTCAATATAAAGTGGCAAAGTAATGAAAGCGTTGGACATGATACTCACCACATGGTTCTCCAGTATATCCAGAAGTATAACGACATTTGCATTCTGCAGTGTTGTCTTTATCGTTGGGAGCACAGATCTCGTTTTCTGCACAAAGGAAAGAGCTGACCTCACAATGGCTCTGTTAAAACAAAAGCACCTGATTACTTTTATAAAAATAAAGGTATCCTATAAATTGATTGATTGATAGACTTTTTAAATTGCACCTGTTTTATTTTCTTAGATGGAATCATAAGCTTCCAGAGCAG